TTACTCACAACCCCTTAAAATAAGTCCTTGGAAGCCAGGCCGGTGTTGTGATATGCACCTTCAATTCCTGCACTCAGGAAATCAGAGGCAGGCTGATCCCCGAGTTTGAGACCAGCCTGGTCTACAGAGCGCATTCCAGGACAGTCAGAACTACGCAGAGAAACCCTGTCTCAAAAAAACAAAATTACTACTGCTGCTGCTGCTGCTGCTGTTGCTGCTGCTAATAGTAATAATAATAAAGTAAGTCATTTGGTGTCCATGTAATTTTACCACTTATTAAAACGAAAGGAAATTGCATACTAATAAAATGGATGTGTAAGTTTGTTTATAAGTCTTGGCTAAATATTTGATAGTGTAAGACAACATTTTAAGCCGGGTGATGGTGGCGCACGCCTTTAATCCCAGCACTCAGGAGGCAGAGGCAGGTGGATCTCTGTGAGTTCGAGGTTGGGCGGACCGACAGCCTCGAAAACAATACAGAGAAACCCTGTCTCGTAAAACCAAAAAAAAAAAAAACATTGATGGATATTTGGATATTTGGATTTTATAATGATTACAATGCCACTATATATATTATAGAATGACAACTGTTTCAGAAATTGTTGGAAATTCTGTCTTAATCCCAAACCAAAGTTAATTTAGTAACTTTAAAAAATGAAACTGAAGATGGACAGGTGATGCACACTTTTGATCCCAACACTCAGAAGGCAGAAGCAGGTGAATCTCTGAGTTCAAGACCAGCCTGATCTACCTAGGGACTTCAGGACAGCCAGGGCTCTTAAAAAATAAAAAAGATAAAAGGGGAAGAATTGGAACTAAAAAATCAACCACTCAGTGATTTTTGTTTATTCATTAATTTTAGTTTTTATTTTATAGTCTAGATTGATCTCCCAACTATGTAGTTGAAGATGTCATTGAAGTCCCCTCATCCCCTGCCAAGCACTGGAGTTGCAAGGGGCCCCACTGTGTGCAGTTCACAAGGTGCTAAGCATCAATCACAGGGCTTTGCATTGGTTGGCGCCCTGCCGAATGAGTTACATCCTTAGCCCTGCCTTAAGTACATTCTAAACTTGCTGTATTTACATTCTGTTTTGCTTTGTTTTTTTGAGACAAAGCTTCTCTGTGTAGCCCTAGCTATCCTAGAACTAGCTCTTGTAGACCAGGCTGACCTCCCAAGTGCTGGGATTAAAGGCATTGAGCCACCACCACCTGACCTTACATTTATTTTTTAAAATCGTATATTGTACTGATCACTTCATTCCTTTATGAGACTAATTTAATTATAATAGCCTTAGAATATGTTTTAATAGCTGATGTGTCAATAACCTTAATACCAGTATTATTTTCCAAAATTAGTAAATTTTACAGGGTTTTTTCCTTCCAATAGATAAAGTTGTTACAGTTTTAAGTTCTCCTGCCACCCAATCCTGCCGAGGAAATCACTGTGTTAATTACAGTTATTTTAAGTTTCCATATTAATGAAAAGTGTATTAAGCAGTGTTCAGCAAGCAATGAGCATTCCACACTTGTTTTCTGAAATGTGACCCCCCTCCCCGAGCCCCACCCTAGGAGGTGGCAGAGTATGAGAGTTGCCCACAGTGGAAAGCACTTCACTCAGGCACTCCCTGTTCTGCATTTTTCTTCTGTATTGCATTTCAGACCTTGCCCAAATGTTTACTTATGAAGAATGATTGTTTTGTTTATCATGTATACAGTGTTCTGTGTGCATGCATGCCTGCAGGTCAGAAAAGGGGTACATACACGTTTTAAATGAAAGAACTATCTACACCTAATGCTTTCCTCCAGTAAGAATATCCCTTTCTGCAGTTAGAACAAAATCCACAGTTATGTGTATAAATCAGATTATATAAAATTTAAACCAAAAATAATCCAGGGTAATCTCAGATACATGAAAAGAACATAAAGAAAACCTGTTGGAGAACTGCAAGGGAGATAACGTATTTATTAGACTCTCCTCATTCCTGCTTCTTGGGAGCAAAGTGCCTGTAACTTTGTCTGTAAGGCCATACATAAGGATTTTCTGCACCCTGAGTATGTGTATCCATCATCTGCTCTGACTCTACAGTGGATCCTCTCCAATGGCGTCCATTCCTGGGAGCCCAGCAACTGCACCACTGACTCCTAGCCCCTTGTTTGTTTGCTTGCTTGCTTTTTTTCTTTTGTTTTTTGGGGGGGGGTTGTTTGTTTTGAGACAGGGTCTCTCTACATAGCTGTGGTAACTTGAAATGTAATTGGCCCCCATAATTTCATAGGAAGTGGCACTATTAGGAGGTGTGGCTTTGTTGGAGTGGGTATGGCCTTGTTGGAGGAAGTAGGCCACTGTGGGGGTGAGCTTTGAGGATCCCTATGGGCAGAACACTGCTCATTTAGTCAGTCTTCATATTGCCTACAAGATTGAGAACCACTCCAGCACCGCGTCTGCCTGCACATTGCCATGCTCCCCATCATGATGATAATGGACTGAACCTCTGAAATGTAAGAGTTGCTATGATCGTGGTGTCTCTTCACAGCAATAAAACCCTTAACTAAGGCAATGGCCCTGACTGGCCTGGGACTCTGTTTAAAACAGACTGTCCTGGAATTTAGAGAGATCCTTCTGCACCTGCCCCAGGAGTGCTGAGAGTAAAGGTGTGTGCTACAATACCTGGCTCTTTATTTTTTCTAATTGCATTTTTAGTTATTATGTGCTTATGTGTGTGTGGGGGTGTGTGTGCAGGCACCATGGCATGCAGGTGTAGGTCAGAGGACATCTTTTGGGAATTGGTTCTTTCCTTCCTTCCACAATAGAATCACAACTCAGGTTGTCAGGCAGGGTGTTAAGTGCCCCACTTGCTGACCCAGCTCTATAGCTCCTGATCTCGCCCCTGCCCAATTCTTCCATTAAAGAATTTTATGTAGGGACTAGAGAGATGGTTCAATGTTGACTGCTCTTCCAGAGTACCTGGGTTCAATTCCCAGCTATCTGCCATCTATGACTCCAGTTCCAGGGGATCAGATGCCCTCTTCTGGCCTCCACAGATACTAGGCACGCATGTGGTACATAGACATACATGCAAACAAAGCACCTATACACATATAATAAGATAATTTTTAAAATCGGGAATTTTATACAGGTGGCTATGGGAAGTGAAGGCAGAGGATAGGTTCATAGTCTGGTGCATAGCTAATTTAGGCCAGTCTGAGGTACATGGAACCTATCTCAAACAACGGCAACAAAAGAATTGTACGTAAATGGTCTCACAGTGTTCCTGACAGTGTAAAAAATCCCTTGGAATTAATTCAGATTATTGTGTAGTGATAGTTCATTCTAAAGTCGTAGTCTGTGCTATACAAATGGATCCTAATTTTTATATGAACTTAGTACAATTCTTGGGTCATATAGTGAGTACACACTTTTAGCATACTTTTTTTTTTTCAATTTGGAGGTGGGAGTAGGACTAGTATATCCCAGGCTGGCCTGGAGTTCTCTGTGTAGGCTGAGGAGGGCCTTGAATTTGGGATCCTCCTGCTGCTGCTTCCCACAGTGCTGGGTTTACAGATGAGTGCTTTTTTTTTTTTTTTGATTCTTTGTGGATTTCACATCATGTATTTTGATCCCATTCATCTCCCCATCCCTTCATTATCAGCCCTCTGTCCTTGTGACTCCCCCACCAAAAACTAAAATTATGGGGAAAAAAGAAAGAACTTGTCATGGAAACTGTGGTGTCATAAATTATGCTTTCAAGTGTTCACTGCAGTGAGTCATTAATCTGGTTTGAGGCTTTTGGTTTCTGCTACTCTACTGATACTGGGCCCTCCCTGGGACTCCTCTTGGATACCCCGTTGTTTCCTGTGTTGTTGGGATCCTGCAGCTTTAAGTCTGCAGGACATGTACTCCAGCAGATCACAGATGGATGGATGAATGCTGGTATGAGCTAACTCATGTCCCTACTTCTAGGCCTGGGTGTTTTCAGGGTTGGTCAGCCCATCAGCTCTTCCCCCATCTTCCCTACCAGGGTGAACTTTTCAGCTTCAGTGCTATGCCCCTCCCCCCAGTCCACCCTGTGTAACAAGCAGCAAGGGGAGGGTCCAGTTCTGTTTTCATGACTTCAGGGTCTGTTCACCCCCACCTACACCACCAGGGCCAGCTCTACTGTGCTGCCCAGGCCAGTGCAGGGCCCACTCTCCTGAATGCTGCAGCCAGTGAAGAGTGGGACCAACTCTGTAGCCCTAGCCTCTCAGCCTTGGATGGTAACAGGAGCCATGGACACAAACACAGAAAGCAGCCCGCTCTCCCAAACCCAACGGGTTATGTTTCCTTCCTGCTGCTCAGGGTGGTAAGGTACATGGGTCTCCATCCTGCTCAGTCTTAATGGTACTGGGTGGGGTCCTGTTTTCTCCCCAGGTGTGTGTTTTTATCTGCTATTTAAAAAAATCTGTTATTATTGATTGAATGCATGATACAATTTTCTTACCTATCAAAAAGGAAAGACTTAAGGTTGGGGGGAGCCGGAAAGTTGGGTCAATGGTTTAAGAGTACTTGTTGCTCTTGTAGAGAACCTACCTGGGTTTAGCTCCCAGCACCTACAAAGCTGTTCACATTAACTCTAGTTTCAAGGAATCTGAGGCCTTCTTCTGACTTCCTTAGGTACCAGGCATGCAAGTGGTACATGCAGGCAAAATACTCATGTACATAAAATATTGTTTTATTTCTTATGAATACAACATCCTGCCTCCATGTCTATCTGCAAGCCAGAAGAGGACACCAGATCTCATTTTAGATGGCTGTGAGCCATCATGTGGTTGCTGGGAATTGAACTCAGGACCTCTGGAAGAGCAGTCAGTGCTCTTAACCTCTGAGCCATCTCTCCAGCCCCCATAAAATATTTTTTAAAGGAAACTTAGTTTTTCTAAATATTAGTCTTCGTATTTTTTTTGTATTTGACCATTAGTTTTAATATTGTCTCAAAAGTTGACTTTGCCTTCCCTCTGCCTTTCAGCGGCTGTGTGACTATGTTTGTGATCTACTCTTGGAAGAGTCGAATGTTCAGCCCGTGTCAACACCAGTAACAGTATGTGGGGATATACATGGACAGGTAAATTTCATAAGGACACAGCCAAGGCTACACAGAGAAATCCTGTCTTGAAAGACAACAATAAATATTTAAAAAGAAAAATCCAGCACTGCTTTTACTTGAGAGAAAAGTGACAAACGATCATTATTTAGACTTGGATATTTGCAAAGATGAAGGAAATAAGCTAGTCATTTCAAAGGTAACAGTTGATATTATTTGCTGCCAGTGACAACATCTTAGTTTACTAATGAAAGAATTGTATTTGGGAAAGTTTCAGTTTAACTGTGATATAGCTCCAGCTGGCCTGGAACTTGCTATGTAAACCAGGCTGGCTTAAACTGCACCTGCCTTTGCTGGGATTAGAGAAATATACTACCATATCTGGCCGTTTCTCATGCTTTTAAAGACTTCTGATGAGTGATGATATTAACAAATATTTTTATAACATATAAAGAAGTATCATTTCATATTCCTAATAAGTAGTGTATCATTTACTCAAAGCAGATAGCAATAATCTGACCATATTGTGGTGTGTTAGATTCATTCAGGTATGGTTTTAGATTTTATATTGTGAATTAATCATTTTTCTTAAGATGTCACTTGCTGGATTTTGGCATAATATTAAAAGTAGAATGTGCACAGTTGTGTGAGAATGTTAACAAACAGCCCTTGGGAAGTAAAGGTAGGAATTACAAGTTCAAGGCTAATCTGGGCCCTATAGTAAGTTTAAGGCCAAACTTGGTTACATAGTGAGAACTTGTCTCAAAAGACAAAAGCTAAAACAAAACACCAAAACCCTCCCCAAACCATTAATTTCTTTTGTGTATGTTTGTATGAAGCTGGTATTGTTAGTTTAATCGGTGTATATCATCAGTCAGAGACAGATTATGGGCCTCCAGATACCTTCTAGTAAGGCAAATGTGGAAAGAATTGCCTAAAATTGCTTATTCTCTTATTCACTTAGTTTTACTTTTTAAAACATGGTTTATTTTTATCAAGATATATTTATGTTCGCAGGCAAATGGGCAGAACTAGAAAAAAAATTCTGAGGTAATCCAAAACTAGAAAGACAAATATAGTACGTACTCGCTCATAACCCCAGAGAAGCTTGAACCCTCTTCCAGAAACAGATGGAAGAAGATGCAGAAATCCACAACTAACCAATGGACTAAGCTCCTGTAGTACAATCAAAGTGAGGGAGGAGCCATAATCTGAACAAAGGAGTCAAGACCATGATGGGGAAACCCACAGAATCAGCTGACCTGAGTTAGTGAGAGATCACAGACTCAGGTCTGACAAATGGGGAACCTGCGTAAGACCGAACTAGACTCCCTTAATATAGGTGACAGTGGTGTGACTTAACAATATATGAGGCCACAGGCAGTGGGTCCAGGATCTAACACTAATGCACAAACTGACTTAGTGGAGCCCATCCTATGTGGAGAGATACCTTGCCCAGTCTAGACATGGGGTGTGGGGTGGAGAGGTGCCTTGGTCCTGCCTCAATGAGATGATGGGACGGACTTATGGGAGGCCTTACCCTCTCTGTGGAGCAGAAGGGGGGGGGAGTAGAGGAGGATGGCGGGGGAACTGGGATTGGAGTGTAAAAAACAAATTAATTTAAAAAATACAAAAAAATATATATGTTACTATTTAATGGTTTAAAATTTAAATGTTAAAAATCTTGTTTTAATTTCTAATGTCACATATATAATTTTTCCTTTGTTTTTATACGTGTGTGTATGTGAGTGTTTTACCAGCATGTATGTCTGTGTACTACATGTTTGTGCTGCCCACAGCAGCCAGAAGATAGTGTCAGATCCCCTAGGACTCAAGTAACAAATGATTGTGAGCAAGTGTGTGCATGCTGGAATCAGATCAGGTTCTCAGGAAAAGCAGCCAGTGCTTTTAACCTGAGGCACATCTCCAACTTTCACCAATTTGTTTTTACCTTAACATGAGCTGAATTTTTTGGAGACCTACAAGAACTTTTAAAGTTTTGGGGGTTAAAACTTAGCAGTTTTGCTTATACTTTATTTCTTCTTAAAAATAAAAATATTTGAAGTCCTCTTAACTGCTTCTTTACGTATATCCTTCTCACTTAACTTTCACAGGAATTTGTAGTCAGCATACATTGCTTTTCTTTTACAGTTCTATGATCTTTGTGAACTGTTCAGAACTGGAGGCCAGGTTCCTGACACAAACTACATATTTATGGTATGTAAACACTAGTAATGCCAAGTGCTTATTTAAAATAAAAAGGTTCTGGCAATAATTATTACATGTAAATTCTATAATAATTGCTATTTAAGTGTATGAAAACATGAGTCTGTACTTCTCTGTATTTTGTCACATCTTCTACTTACATAGAATTGCTATGTTTGTAAACTTACTGTACAAATAGGACTGGGTTGTAACTGCCAGTAATGGCAGAAGGACCACATAGAACCTCTGGTTTAGTCTGTCAGTGGATGAATACATGCAGGTATAGTTTGGTATTTCATACTTTTTCCTGATACACACTTACTGTTATGGGGATTTTTTTTTCTGGGAAAACAATCAGTGCTCTTAACCACAGAGCTACCTCTCCAGCTTTGTATTACTGTTTTTTAAAGCTACTTTCTGAATATTGGCCCAAGTCAGACATTAATTGGAAGTGTAAATAGTATTTTATACATGTACGAGTGAGGTTTTTTTTTTTTTTTGTTTCTCTTTTCTTTTTTGTGAGGGGGTCTCACTGTGTTGTCCTGACTGACCTGAAGCTTTCTAGGTAGACCAGGCTAGCTCCCCACTTCATTGCCTAAAGAACTGAGCCTCTCATTGAACCAGAAACACTCTGGATTTCAGTAGTTTCACTGAGGCTTCACCTTTCTCAGTCCCATAGTATTTGGATTATAGATATGTGCAACCACCTTTTAATATGGGTGCTGGGACTTGCAGCCCCTCATGCTTATAGAGAAACAGATCCTGTTTAAAATAGTTTTTAAGGAATTATTTTTTAAGACGATGTACAGCTCCTTGTTGTTGTGGGCTAGTACAACTGTTGCATGGTTTGTAACTGTAAACTTTTACTTTACAGGGTGATTTTGTAGACAGAGGTTACTATAGTCTGGAGACCTTCACTTATCTTCTTGCGCTAAAGGCTAAATGGCCTGACCGTATTACACTTTTAAGAGGAAATCATGAGAGTAGACAGATAACACAGGTGTATGGATTTTATGGTAAGACCTTCTTTTCTCTGATTCTCAGTGGTATTTTACTTTTGGGGGGAAGTTGTATGTGTACTTTGTTTTTGTTGTTTGTTGTTGTTTTTTTTTTTCTGCTTTACTCCACATTTCCCCCAGTCAATTGAAAATCTAGCCATATAGTGAAAGACTTACTATTACTAAGGCTTTGGTGTACATCTTTCTAAATCTGTGTGAAAAAAGAAATGTAGTCTTAACTTTCCCACTTTGGAATCACTTTGAGTGCTTGTTTAAAATGCAGACTCTGGGTCTGTGAGTGACCCAGTGGGTAAAGGCACTGGCTGCTAAGCCTGACAGCCAGGGTTTATTTACCAGGGCCCACATGGTGGACAGAGAGAACCTACTCCCGAATGTTATACTCTGACCTCTGCACACTCTAATACACACACAGAATGAATAAATATATTAACATTTTAAAAGATTGCTGTATTATTTTTAAGTATATCTAGATTTGTGTGTGTGTGCATGTGTGGTATATGCATGTGAGTTCAACTGTTGTTGGGAGGCCAGAGGCATTGGTTCCTCTGGAGCTGGAGTTCACAGACAGTTGCAAGTTGCCTGATGGGGTACTGGGAATTGAACTCCAGTCCACAGCAAGGAATCTTAACTGCTGAGCTATCTCTCCAACCCTAATTAAAAAAATTTTTTTTAATGTAGATTATTTGCTGGGTAGTAGTGGTACATACCTCTAATCCCAGCACTAGGAGGCAGAGGCAGGTGAGTTCTGGGACTCAGAGTTCAAATTCTGTGAGTTTGAGGTCAGCCTGGTCTACAGAACAAGTTCCAGGACAGCCAGGGCTATACAGAGAAACCCTGTTTCAAAAAAAACAAAATAATAATAAAATTTTTTTTTAATGTAGACTGTTGGGTCTCACTTCAAACATCATAATCAAATTCTGTTGGCATAGGATCGTAGGTCAGATCTGCTGAGGGTGGATATTACGCACATTCAAGACTGGGGTTTATCTCTGCAAGCCTTCCCCCTCCTTCCGTCTCCCACTCCCATTTCCTCTCCTCTCCTCTCTGTTTAGGTCAGTGCTGGAGATGGAATCCAGAACCTGTGCATGCTAGACAAGCACTCTGCTACCAAGCTATACCCCCAGTTCTTCCGTAATGCTATGTTGAGTGCTTAGCCTTTTTACTGCCTTAGTTTTTTGGTTGGTTTGTTGTTTTGTTTTTTGACAGGATGTCTCCATAGAAGCCCAAAGTGGCCTAGAGCTAACTGTCATCCTGGCCTTAATTATATGATCCTCCTATGGCAGTCTCCTAAGTGCTGGGATTCTAGGCATCTACCATCACCTACAGTTCCTTGTTGTTCTGTAGCTGTATCATATTACAGTATGGGTGTACCATAATTAATCCGTCTGTTTCCCATTGGACATTTAGTTGCCTTTTTGTTGTTGTTTGTTTGTTTGAGATAGTCTTGCTATGTGGTTCTGGTCTAAACTCCATAAACCAGTCTGACCTTAAATGTGCTTCCATTTCCCTGCCTCAGCCACTGGAATGCTGGGACTACAGGCTTGTGTCAGAGTACCCAACTGAATGTCTTGTTCTTTTGCGGGATAATCAGTATTTTGGGTAGTATACTGTGGGGTTAACTCAGGGAAGCAGGACTAATATAAATTCTAAGAAATGCCTTGTTCAGTGATTTTTTTTTTTATTGATGTGTGGCCATCGTAGAGTATTTATTGCACATTATAAAATGACTGTAGAGAAGATGCCAGGATGGTATATAGATCTAGTATCCCTTATCCAAAATGCTTAGGCCCAAAAGAAGTAGTTTAGATTTTGGATTTTTTGGGGGGAGGGTGGTTGGAATATTTGGAAAAGCATGAAATTTCTTGAAGATAAGATAAATCTAACACCATTATGTTTTATTTATTTATATGTGTGTTATGTATAATTATAAAATATAGTTTTGTGTATTATACATGTAATATATGTAGTCTGAAAGAAATTTTGTAAAAGACTGATTCAGTATCCATAAACTGAAAACTCCACAACCCCAAATCATCATCTGTAAAGTCTGAAATTTTGAGCACCACTATGACACTCATAAGTTTCAGATTTGTGATACTTTCATTTTTAATGTGCCGTACACATGCCCAGGGCATATAAGGTAAGCACTCTGCCACTAAGCTACACTCTAACTCTGAAATCTGAAACACTATGGAACACAAACTTTTTTTTCTTTGTTTTGTTTCTGGAATTCTTTTATTTATTTATTTATTTTTATTTCGTGTGCATTGGTGTTTTGCTTGCATTTATGTCCATGTGAGGGCGTTGGAGCCCCTGGAACTGGAGCCACAGGCAGTTGTAAGCTGCCACGTGGCTGCTGGGAATTGAACCCGGGTCCTCTAGAAGAGCAGCCATCTTAACCACGGAGCCATCTCTCCAGGCCTTGTTTCTGGAATTCTGAGACAGGATTTTGCTGTATAGATCTGGATGTGCTGGAGCTTGCTGTGTGGCCCAGGCTGGCCTTATGTGGCATTCTTCCTGCAAGCTTTACCTCCTAAATGCTGGGGTTAGGGACCTGAGCACTCAAATGGGATATTTGACGCATTTGTTTCATTATTTGAGACAGGATCTCATTCTGTAGCTTGGGTTAGCCTGGAATTCACTATGTGTCCCAAGTTAGCCTCAAAATTCACTAATTCTCCTGAATCAGTCTCCCAATTGCTGGCAGAACATTTATTTATTCGCTTACCTGTTTATAGACAGGGTCTCAATCTGTGGCTTCCTGCCTTAGCCTCCCAAGTTGTAGATGTGTATCCCCGTGTCTGGTTCAACTCGTTTGTTTGTTTGTTGTGTTTGAGTCAAGGTCTCTCTACCGACCCCTGACTGTCCTAAAACTCACTATGTAGACCACATCAGCCTTGAACTCACCTGCCTCTGTCTCCTGAACACTGAGATTAAAGGCATTTGCCACCACGTCCAGCTTTTTTTTTTAAAGGAATATGGAAATAAAATTTTAAAATGTGTGTGTACCGTGGCCATGTGTGAAGGTCAGACAACAATTTATAGGAGTTGGTTCTTTTCTTCAACCGTGTGGATTCTGGGGATTGAACTCAGATTGTTGGGCTTGGTGACAAGCCTGATATTGTTATCCTGATCCTAATTTATTATAATTATATTTTTATTATTTTTTATATACTCACTAGGCATCCCTGTCTGACCTAGAACTTCCTATGTCAACCACCTTGAAGTTCATCTGCCTTATCCTCCACATTTGACTTTTATTTTAAGGCTTACTCATTTTTAGTTTATGAGTGTTTACTTTTATGTATGTCTGTGCACAGTGTGAGTACTGGGAACTGGAACCAGGTCCTTTGTGGTTTCATTTTGGTTTGGTTTGTTGTTTGTTTTGGGGTTTTGGTTTTTTGGGTTTTTTGTTTTTCGAGACAGGGTTTCTCTGTGGCTTTGGAGGCTGTCCTGGAACTAGCTCTTGTAGATGGGCTGATCTCAAACTCACAGAGATCCACCTGCCTCTGCCTCTTGAGTGCTGGGATTAAAGGCGTGGGCCAACGCCCAGCTAGAGACCAGGTCCTTTGTAAGACCATTAAATGCTCTTGTGTTAGTTAGGGTTTCTATTGCTATGAAGAAACACTGTGATCACAAAATTTCTTATAAAGGAAAAACATTTAATTGGGGTGACTTCCATTATCATCATGGGTGACGTGCGACATGCCGGCAGACATGGTACTGGAGGTTCCAACATCTTCACTAACAAACAACAGAAAGTGAATTGAGATACAGGGTGTGGCTTTAGCATATGAGACCTCAAAGCCGGACTCCACAGTGACAAACTTACTCCAATAAGGCCACACCCACTCCAACAAAGGCACATCTCCTAATAGTGCCACTTCTTATGAGCTTAGTGGGGGCAATTACATTCAAACTACCACAACTCTTAATCACTGAGCCATCACTTCAACCTCCCAGTTATTTTTCAGCCTCCTAGTATTTATTTTTAGTGTTTCCATTTTGATTGACGTCATTTATAGAATTTGCCAAGTATGTTATCATCTTGATGCTTAAAAAGTTTGGATTTTTTGCAGCATTTTAAATTTTAGACTTTTGCCGGGCGTTGGTGGTGCACGCCTTTAATCCCAGCACTCGGGAGGCAGAGCAGGCGGATCTCTGTGAGTTCAAGGCCAGCCTGGTCTACAGAGCGAGTTCCAGGACAGCCTCCAAAGCCACAGAGAAACCCTGTCTCGAAAAACCAAAAATAAAATAAAATTAAATTTTAGACTTTTGTGTCTAAGAGATAAGTGATTTATGTGTGTAATTATACCACATTCTTCAGTGTAGGGCAAAGGAGCAAAAGGGAGGTGGAGGGAGGGTTTGGACCTTTTACTCGATATGCTTTGACTGAAGAAATGATAACATTAGGTGTTGAACTTTCTCTTTCTCAGAAGTGTGTTTATCTAGTAGTTTTATAGTTGTATTTAACAAAAATTAGTATAGTTACTCAGGAAAAAGATAATTTTATTTATCATGAATTTACAGTGACTTAAAAGCCTTAGATAACTATTAATCATATTGGTTGCTTACTTCACACTGATAAACATACATCAGGGACTTAAATTTTTTAATTACATTTATTTGTGCATATGTGTATGTGCATGCACTCATATTCTCTCATGAATATCTGAGAATGTATAAAGCCAGGCTGTGGTGACTCATGCCTTTAATTCCAACACTCAGGAGGCAGAGGAAGATGGGTACTGAAAGCGTGTGCACATGTCTGTGGAGATTGGAAGCGTGTGCACATGTCTGTGGAGGTTGGAAGCGTATGCACATGCCTGTGGAGGTTGGAGGAGTCAGTTCTTTTCCTGAATCCCATCATCAGACTCAGAGTCAGTGTCTTTAACTGGAGTGCCATCTCCCTGGCCCTTTTTAATATTCCAAGTCTAATTAATTTTGCCTGTTAGAATTTGACTGGATGTTAGCATTTAGTTGCAGTTTTCAGATCTCACAAAAAGGAACTTCATCCTGAGAAATGTTGGTTTAGGAGTTACTCATACACTTATAATTAAGGGTCCTTTAATTTATTTGATTATCCTTCTATAATAAGGTAGTCATATTAAAGAAATGCACTATTTATAGAATTACTTTGGCATTAACATAACTGGCCAAAGCATTTGGTTTGGCATGTATGAAATCAGTAATTTCCTTCCACATGATAACCTTTTGGCTGATACTCATTTTAGGATCATTTCTGGATATAAAAGGATTATAGTTTCTTTAGAGGATATGGTTTTTGAAGATTTGCTTGTATTTTATGTGTATGAGTGTTTTGCTTGGATGTTGTATATGCTCTACATATACAGAAGAGAGTGTAAGCTCCACTGACTGGAGTTACAGATAGGTGTGAGCCATGTGGCTGCTCTGAACTGTTGAGCCGTCTCTCCAGTCCCATCCTATTTGTATGTGTGTATATATGTACTGTGGATTGAACTTAGACTTTACACGTGTAAGGTAAGCGCATACCTGTAGAAGGACTTTTCTTTGGGCTTACATAAATTGACATGGAGAATGATTATTAGCTATGAAAGCTTGGCCTGAGCTTAGGCTTGTTTCTAACGAGGTCTTGCAACTTAACTTAACCCATATTTTTAAATCTATGTTCTTTTTCATGGTTCAGTTACCTTTATTCTGCATTACCCATCCTGCTTCCTCTCCATCCTGCTGGTGACTCCACCTCTCTTCCCAGGGCTCCCTTTGTCCAAAATCTCTGCTATAAACCAGTCGCAGTGACACATCTTCACACAATGTAAAGGAATATTCCACAGCACCTGCCACTGAGCCATGCTCTGTCTTCCTTAGAATATGTGCATTGTTAGTAGACTTCTTTTGGTTCTATAAGAAAAATAGAGATGAATATGCACCATAATTTTCTGCTCTAGATTAAGGTGAATTTATTTTATAGCAAAGATAACTTAAGCATTTGATATACTATTTCATTAATGAGAACATTTATGTTTTCTTCACAGATGAGTGCCAAACCAAATATGGAAATGCTAATGCCTGGAGATATTGTACCAAAGTTTTTGACATGCTCACAGTAGCAGCTGTAAGTATGGGTCTCCTTAGAACCTGAAACATTTTTCTTGCCAAAACACATATTTTTTATCAGTTGAAGCTATTTTCTTTAGGTTTAGCATTTATTGTTGAATTTAGATATGACTGAGTTTATTATTATCCTTTGTTATTCTTTTTTGCTAGTTAATAGATGAGCAAATTTTGTGTGTTCATGGTGGCTTATCTCCTGATATCAAAACACTGGATCAAATTCGAACCATTGAACGAAATCAGGAAATTCCTCACAAAGGAGCATTTTGTGACCTGGTGTGGTCAGATCCTGAAGATGTAGACACTTGGGCAATCAGTCCCAGAGGAGCAGGTTGGCTTTTTGGAGCAAAAGTCACAAATGAGGTAAAGCTAACATTTTGGGAAAAGTAGTTCTTTGACTAGTAAAATAACAATGATCTCAGATATCAAACTCATAGCCTAATTTACTAAATTTATTGTTGTGTATCGGGTTTCTACTGTAGCTGATTGAATTATGTTTCCTGAATGGTTCAGTGAGATTACATAGTAAAAGCACCTATTCCAGTATTATCTGCTGATATTATTAAAATAATAATTAAGTAACAAGATCGCCAGAGCAAGATATGCAACTTTTTTGTTTGTTCGTTTTAATAGCAGATCAAATATCCTCCTGAAACAAACATATAATTCTGACAGTCTTCTAATCCCAGTTGATTTCACTTTTTCTTTTTCTTTTTTTTTTTTTTTTTTTTTTTTACTTTTTGTTTAAATCAAAATTTTAACCATTTTCTTTTATTTTGGTTTTTTGTTTTGATTTTTCGAGACAGGGTTTCTCTGTAACAACCCAACCCTGGCTGTCCTGGAACTCACTCTGTAGACCAGGCTGGCTTTGAACTCACAGAGATCTGCCTGTCTATGCCTCCCGAGTGCTGGGATTAAGGTGTGCAGCACTCTGCATGTCTTAACCTTTTTTTTTTTTTTTTTTTTTTTTTTTTTTGGTTTTTCGGGACAGGGTCTCTCTGTGGCTTTGGAGGCTGTCCTGGAACTTGCTTGGTAGTCCAGGCTGGTCTCGAACTCACAGAGATCCGCCTGTCTCTGCCTCCCGAGTGCTGGGATTAAAGGCGTGCGCCACCAACGCCCAGCTTAACCTTATTTTTTTATTCTGTGTCTGTGCACCATTTGCATGAAGTGCCTGTGGAGGCCAGAAGAAGGTGTTAGACCCCCTGGGACTAGAGTTACAGGTGGTTGTGAACTGTTGCATGGTGGTTGGGAACTGAGCTTCTGTCCTGAAAAGCAGCCACTAAACCATCTCTCCAGCCTAAATTCAAATTTTAAAGTAACACATGAGCTAAGAGAACTTAATATTGTTCCAAGGCACTTACTGAATCTCCATGAGGCAGATGAAAACAAGAACCATTAGGATGAATAATAATATAACTCCTTGCTTACAAACAAAACATATTGTGATTACAGTCTTTGATCTCTAGTAAGCTATTGTGTTGCCTGCATGAATACAACAATTTTAAAATTCAGAAAACTGTTTGCTATAAATTTTCAGGGCAAATAATTTACAAATAAAATGCAGAAATTCTAACATCTTTTCCTGTTTTCTTTTTTGTTTTGTTTGTCTTTTGAGACAGGATTTCTGTGTAGGCCTGGCTGTCCTGGAACTTACTCTGTAGACCAGGCTGACCTCAAACTCTAAGAGATCCACCTGCCTCTGCCTTACCTGAGTGCTAGGATTAAAGGTGTGCACCACCACCAGGCATCTTCTGCTGCTATTTTATGACTGTGGCTTTATCAAATTATGTACCTACTTGCCCTATACATATGCACAACAATGCATACATAAAAGCAGCCATGAACAAATGTGGACAGATAGCACTCACACACACACAGAGGAATGATGTTCTGTTGAGATGTGTTTCAGCATAATGGAGTCATAGAACTAGGTGCTAGGGCCATCGTTTATCCTCATTTATGAAGACTTTACCAACTCTGAACCCTGTCCTCTTTAAGAATAATACTCTCTTTGTGGCATACACTAAATCCTCACATAATAGGACTGATAGTAATGTTATTATGCCATTAAATAGAAAACCTTTGTTTTGTAACTGGTGGTAATTATGTAATCTTTTTTTCCTTGATACAGTTCTTACTAGGTGGTCCAGGATGGCCTCAAACTCAATTCTCCTAGCGTTTTCTGTATTGTTTATTTGCTTGCTTGTTTATTTTTTTTCTATATATATGTTGGAACAATATGAAGAGATCATAGGACAACTTATGGAAGTCCCGTTCTCTCCTACCATGTAGTTTCTGGGATCAAATTCTGGTCATCAGCCCTGTTGACAGGCACCTCTACCAACCCAGCCATCTCTTATTATTACTAGTACTATTACTGTTTTAAAGATTTGCTGTCTCTGTGTTGCAGAGATTGGTCTCAAACTTGTATATTCAAGTGATCCTTCTACCCAGCCTTCCAAGTAACTGAGAGTACAGGTGCTAATTACTTTACCTAGCCTAGACAATTCAAATTGTGGGTCATGTACTTCAGAATAGACACGGGCCAAAGTGATGCTGTAAATTTTGGAGGTTATTATAGATTGGGATTTAGAATCATAACTTCAGTAGTGATATTTGCTGCTTGGAATGGTTATTAAACTGTTGGATGGAATACTCACAAAGCCTTTCTAAATTGCAGTTTGTTCATATCAACAACTTAAAACTCATCTGCAGAGCACATCAGCTTGTGCATGAAGGCTATAAGTTTATGTTTGATGAGAAGCTGGTCACAGTGTGGTCTGCTCCTAACTACTGCTATCGCTGTGGAAACATCGCTTCCATCATGGTCTTCAAAGATGTCAATACGAGAGAACCAAAGTTATTCCGGGCAGTTCCAGATTCAGAACGTGTTATTCCTCCCAGAACCACGACGCCGTATTTCCTTTGAGGCCATTGCCATTCCACTGGCCCACTTTTTGCCCTCTTATTCCCCGCCTTTCTTGTACCCTCTACAATATACTTTTTATTGAGCACTTTGCTGCTGAAATGCTGCCTCTTGCCTTTTTTAATTTTAAATTATCTAAATTTATTGTTTGTTATGGTGTCCATAGCAATGTTTTTCTATCAATTTCATCACTCATCCCATCCCCACCTTGGACTTGTTTGAGAAGACTTGAGAAATGTCTTAATACATTGCTGCATGTAGCTCTTGCTTATTTGCTGTTCTGGGGAAACAGGATGCATTTCCTCTTTTAAAAAGCCAATTGACAATTACATGGAAATCCTCCTCATTTGTATCAGCCAGCCTTCTGTTTTTGTTTGGTAGGGTTTAAGAAATTTCAGCAGCAAAGTTGTCCAGTGGGCAGGATGGACTGCAATGCCTGAGTCATGTACCCTTGTCCCAGCTGTAAACTTCACTGTCCTTACTGGATGATGATTTGATGTTTTAAAAGGGTATAAAATAAATTGGTCTAAAGGGCTGCCCTCCTTGTTGTGTTTTTAAATTTAGTTAAAAACTGCTACAGCTTATGACTTTGTACATTAAGATAATTGTACTGATCTTTTTCAGATTTCTTGTACTTTTTAATAAAATAATCTTAAAACCCAGATAGGTTGTTAGAAATTTTAAACAATTTACATTGTTACCTGAAAGTTTCTTTTTCTTTCCTTTTTTTTTTCCCCCTTATTTTCCTAAGAGTTTTTGACCCTTTGGTTAGTAAGTCTAAAATTTCAATTGAAATTCAATATTTTTTTAAAATTTCACTAAATTGTGCCTAAAAACATAACTGCCATATTAATGTTTTAATTTCTATTCTCTATAGTAATAGAAAAACATTTAATGCTTGTAACACTGGTGTGTTGATTTGATAACCATTTGAGTAGAATGTTCTCTATCCAGTTTACACTCTGTCATGATTATCACCAAGTAAATGTATACTTTTCAACAGCAACCATTCTCTCTCTGTAACCCTTAACCTTAACTTATTACTAAGTATTCAGTTTTTAACTGCAACTTTAAAGGCTGAAAATTCAGAACCCTTGTTTTTTGTGAACTGTAATCTTAAGCAGATCATTTAAAGTATGAAAAGAAACAGACTGTTCTCTTGTGAAGGTCTGTTATACCATATTTCAGCTCTGTGTGTGTAATTTGACTATCTAAAGGTTTGTGATGATCAGTTCTTGATATGTAATTGTCCACTTAATAAGGACAAGTATATCATTATCTCTTATGACTATTGTCATAGATGATTTTGGGATGTACCATCTTGTGAAATTGTTGGTATCCCTTTACAGTGATGATATTTTTTTGTTATCCCAGGAAATCTGTGTGAAGCAATTGATAAAGCACTTTAGCATCTGTTCAGGTAGTTTTAAAAAAAACTTTTCCCCTTCAGGATAAGAACTTCCAGGTTACCTAAAAAAATGCAATAAAAATCTTAATAGTCTAAGCTTCTTGGCGAACAATCTTTCATCAGGGTTTCTTTTACTGAATGAGCACAATATTGTTTTTTATTTTACTTGTTCCCAACCACCCAGCTCCTTTTACAGTTTTTAAATGTGTAGCTCTATGAAAGAAGTGACTAAGACATTTGCTGCACACACTTGAACTAATGGTGGGTCAGTAGCTGTGTGTTACTGTCCTAACCCCAGTGTTATTCAGGTGGAAAGGATCTTTATCTCACAAGAATATGTAGTTGCCGGGCGTTGGTGGCTCACGCCTTTCATCCCAGCACTCGGGAGGCAGAGGCAGGCGGATCTCTGTGAGTTCGAGACCAGCCTGGTCTACAATAGCTAGTTCCAGGACAGCCTCCAAAGCCACAGAGAAACCCTGCCTCGAAAAACCAAAAAAAAAAAAAAAAAAAAAAGAATATGTAGTTACGTATTTTATTAATTTGTGAAACACTGGAATTAATGGTGCAGACAACTTGGTGTGGTTTGTTTTTTTTTTTAACAGCTCTCTGCAGTAGTTTCTTGTTTGCGTTACCATAAATTGTATTTAAGTGTTTGCCCTCCACTGCTTTTAAGTTGTACCAGTAAAATCAGTAGCTCTCAGTCCCCTCTTACTACTCACACTCCTTAGCTTAGGTTGATGTGGTTGTTTTCATTCATCTTTAATGTGACTTATTTTCAAGTCATGGTGTACTGCTTTTGTTTGTCACTAGCTGGGCATGTGCCAATAATATCCTGTCCATCCCTTAACTGCCATCTCTGTTTTGCCTGACTTTTCTTCAACGAAATAATGACTTTGAGGCATGGAAAAGGTAGTTTTTTCTATTAGACTTGTGAAGGAAAGAGAGAGTGAATGTATTGGACCTTGCAAGGCTGAAAAAGAATATTTGGATCCCTCTACTAAACAAGGGCTATGTATTATACAGAGTAATCATGTGGTGGGAAATACTTGCAAGCCAGAGATCTGTAGGCGAGGGAATCTGCTACTCCCTGTATCTAGGCTGAATGTAAAATACCCTATGTTGTACCAATGGGGCTAAGAACTATTTTTATTTGCCTGTGATATAATTGGTTTCAATAAAGTGTCCTAGGCTCCAGTGAGAACTGTCTACTTTGAATTGCCATTTCCTCCCTTTCTTCATTTGGCTGATAGACTTTTTTTTTTTTTTTTTTTTTGGTTTTGGTTTTTCGAGAAAGTGTTTGTCTGTGTAGCTTTAGAGGCTGTCCTGGAATGAACTCTCTCTCTCTCTAGACCAGGCTGGCCTTGAATTCACAGAGTTCCAGCTGCCTCTGCTGGGATTAAAGGCATGTCCTGCCACCACCACTCAATGGCTGATAGACTTTTGGCTAGCTTTCAATAGATCAAAGCTAACCCCCTGAAGAATCTCACATTAAATCTTTCACTTGGGTGTTATCTTAAAAACCCTCAATCAAGACTACATCTAACATGCAACCTGTATCATTTCATCTGGATGTCTAGAACTGTTGGAAGATATTGACATCTTAACCACTGAGTTTTGCTTTTGAAATAAGGTCCAAAATGTTCATTGCATATAAGATATGTGTGTGTTTGCTCTATAAACCCAGCTCCAGGTGTTGGGAAAATGCCTGTACTGTGAAATCTGCCATTGTCAGAAATAGAATCAGTTTTTGTCAGCCTCTAGAAAATTGTGTACAGAGTTGATATTTAACTGCAAGAATCCAGATTTTTAAATGTCATTGTTTTTTAATTGCTAATGTTTGTAAAGCACCTCCAGTTCTTTGAATGAAAGGTGCTACATTCCCTCAATGTCAATTAATAAAAAAAATTGTAGGAAGTTTGTGAAAAATAAGTTTATCTACTGCAGTCTATAGTATTCCCTGAGAAGAAGGTAGCATTTCATATACTTTGTGTTTTCAAAGAGATGCTCATTTTTTCACTTGATCGTGTGATTGATGAGTGGAACTAACCTTTTTCCCCTTGCATCCGCCTATGGGCTAAGTGTCCCAGCTCTTAAAAGCACTGTGTATTACAACCTAGATTCTGTGCCCAGAACCATGCTTCAAGAGGTCATCACAACTCTTGTCAATTGTGTAGTTATATAGTGTGGTAATAATAAGGAAAGATGTGGTAATCAAAACCAAAGGAAACATTTGAAAAGTTCCCTAGAATGATGCAAGTTTCCTTCATCACATAAATACGTACTTTTCTTATGAAAATAAGTTTATGCTTAGATTAATAACGTGGTCCTTAATTCAGCACTGTATGAAGTTAATACAAAAACATTTATTACATATTATATGCTGTTCTGTGAGTACCTGGTAACGGTTCTTAGCATTTTGTATATAAATGTGAGTGGCATTTTTTTTAAATCTGTAATTAAGCATATTATTTTGCAGTGCTGAGGAGTGAACCCAAGACCTTGTGCATGCTAGGTAGGCTGTCTACCACTGAGCTACATTCTCAGCCAGCACATGTCCTTTTCTTGGGGAGGGGGGGAGTTGGGGAGAACTGGTTATTTTAAGACAGGTTCTCACAATGTAGACCACACTGGCTTTCCAGAGATCCACCCAGCAGTGCCTCCCAAGTGCCAAGATTAAAAACATACATTACCATGCCCAGTCTATACCTTGGTATTCTTGGTGTGGATCTCTGTCTAAGTTTTTCCTATACCCACCCCACCCCTGCCCACCCCAGATGAGGAAATGGAATTGGAAAGGATAGGTAACCTGTCAAGGTCACACAGGACATCTGGAAGTTGAGCCCCCTGGAGGGCACATAGTGACTGCTCAAGCCTTCTATTTTGAGCACTGTTGGGTTTTGCAGCTTTGTGACTCTGAACAAATTGAATTCTCTGATCTTTCTGTTCTAAAAGGAATATAGTGAGGTTGGTTAAAATATTAAGAATAGCACCCACAAAATGTCCAGTACTTGGCCCAAAGCTGCTAATTCCTAGTACTTAACCAAAATCAGTATGATTAGAAAGACAAACTCAGGGTGAGAAACATGGTTACTAACAGTGTAGCTTTTTAAAAATAAGAATTTATTTGTTCTATTAGTGTGATTGTTTTGCCTGCATTTACATGTGTGCAGAGTTCAGAAGAGGACATCAGATCTCTTGGAACCTGGGTTAGGTATGATCGTAAGCCACCTTGTTGGTGCTCAGAAGTGAACCCAGGTCCTCTGCAAATAAATGCTCTTAACCACTGAGCCCAACAGTGTAGCCTTCTAAGTACAAGAAATTTGGAGGAAGTGGTTGATGCAGGAGGAGACGTGAAACAATGGGCTGGGTAATGGAATGTGCATGCTTTGTACAAGAGCGCAGAAGCTGAAATGATAGAACTTGGATGCACCATGAAGGGTACATTTTAAGGAAGACCCAACAATTAGCTGCAGTTCTGTTGACAGATTGTCTGTGCTTCTGAGAGGACTGGCCAATCATGGAAAATGTTGGATAGGAAGAAGAGAATTTTAGTAAGAACGTCAAGAGTGATATTTCAAGATTACAACAGGACTCCTCCAACCAAAAATCCTTGATTTCTTTTTGCTGGACAAATAAATAGAAATAAAATTGAGATAATTGGTGACTGTGGCTCTAAGATTACATCATTTAGGGGAAAGGACAGACATTTCATAATTTCTCTAATCAAAGTCATTTTTTAAAATCTAACGGCTGGAGAGATGGCTTAGTAGTTAAGAGGACAAACTGCTCTTCCAGAGAAGCCTAGGGTTTAATTCTCAGCACCCACATGGCAAACCACAATCTGCAACTCCCACCAGACATGCATGCTGTGCACAAGCTCATGGAGGCAAAACACCGGTGCACATAAACACAACTTTAAAGTTCCCATAGCCCCCTGGAAATGCAATTGTGGAGGAGCACATACTGGAGTCCTAGGCTACTTCCTCAGTAGTGGATTAGCAAGGTAGCTCAGTGACTTGAGTTTGACCCCTAGAACCTCATGATGAAGGGAGAGAGCCACTGATTTCCACAAGTTGACTTCTGCTCCCCACATAACTCACCCTCCCTTCCCTCCACCTCTCTCAAATGTAATAAGATATTCAGCAATGCAAAAAATAAATCTCACTATGACTTACTGCTTTCCATTATTTCATAAAAGGAAAACGACCATTTTAGCATCAAGAATGGATAACAAGACAGAACCATTTAGGAATAAAGAACCCATTGCACCAAATGCATTTGGTTCTGTGGAAAACTAGTATCATACTGTATGAAGATTTGTGGGATATTTGTCCTCGTGCATTTTCATTTGCTGTCATATGCTGTGTGTGCAGGTGTGTCTGTCATGTGCACATGGAGGTCAGCGTCTTGGAGAGTCCATTCTGTGGGTTCCAGAATTGAACTCACAATGTCAGGCTTGAACAGCAAGCACATTTTACTCTGCTGAGCCTATCTCTGCCACTGCTTTTGTTGGTGTGTTTTAACAAAATGTGTTCTAATGAAATGAAAGTGGCTCCAGAGAAAGTTTTATGCCTCCTCCCAAATCTAGCAGGAAAAAATGAACTTAGGGTCTGCCAGACAACTTTGCATAGGAATAAATATATACAGTTATTACTCATCTTATATTCTATGCTGGGCATGGTAGCTCACGCCTTTAATCCCAGCTCTCAAGAAGCAGAAGGTGATGTATCTCTTGGAGTTGAAGACCAGCCTGGTGTACTGAGTGAGTTTCAGGACAGCCAGGGCTATACAGAATCTCTGTCTCGATCCCCGCCCCCCGCAAAATATTCTTAAGATGCAGTAATATACATCTGCTATATTTTCAAAGATAGCTTTGTTAGAATAGAATAGGGTATTAATTGTACTTATTTATTGTACTTACATGGTAGTAGTTTTACATTACTTGAGTCTTGTCAAAATGCAGAGAATTTTATACTAACATTGATCACCTGATGTAGATTTTCAAATTATCTGCAACGACACAAAATGGCTAGCTTACACAAGAAGCAGTTCTTATGCTTTTCAAAATGGAATACATTTCTTGTAGTTATTGCAATTGTCTCTTTTTACCATGACATTTCTTTTTTCGTGATAATTAAAGAAATCCTCGTGCTTTCTTTCAAGCTACCACCCAAGCTTACGCTCTTTCCACTTTATATTGCTGGATCTCTTTGAAGGGTAGCACTAGCCGAAACCATTTCTGCAAAATGATGGCAGGGACTGCATTCGAGGTGATTCATAACGACATCATGAAGGAGAGCTGCTTTACCCCCGAACTTCTGGATGTATTTGGAGAAAGTGCACTACTTGATTTGGGTTCTGGGGCGGTGCGGAAGCGGTGTAATTAGTAGGTGTCCAGGATGCAGGATGTAGAGTCCAAGAACCTGGAAGCAGGTGTTTGCTGCCGAACTGCAATTCCTTCTTTCTGGCGCACGGTGGCGCGCCGGGCTCCTCCCGCTCTGCTGGCAGTCTTTAAGGCACCTCTGCCGCCACCTGCAGTCTCAACCAAACCTCGGGGGTGGGCCGCGCGGGACGTGAAGGCCCGAGCGCCCAATCGGCGGCCGGACTTTCGGGCACGCTGCAGCCTCAGCCAATAGGAGCCAAGGAGAGGCGCGGATGGGGCCGGCCCCGCGGCTCTCCTGGCCGAGGCGCGAGGCCCTCCTCCCGTCTCTCCGCCTACTCCAGCCTCCGCCGTCTCAGCATCCCGAGCGAGCCTTGCGGCCGCCGGAGCAGCTCCCCTCGGCGGAGCAGGAGCCGGATGGTCAGAGGAGCCCGGCAGTCCCAGCAGCCGCGGAGTCGCCTGGCCCCCAGGTGGGGCGGGCTGCGGTGCATGGCGGAGGATTAGGGCCGGGGGGCCGGGGGAGAGGGCCCGGGAGCGGCCGAGTCCTGAGGCATGCAGTGTCTGGGGGCGCCGAGAGCGAGCAAGTCGTCGGGGCGGGGAGCGAGGACGCGAGAGGCAGAGCGGAGGGCGCGCGCCCCAGCGGGGGCAGAGGAATGCGGGGGCCCGAGGCCGAGGGGCGGGGCTGCGGCCGAGGGGAGCTGGGGGGCCTGCGGCTCCGGGCAGACAATGAGGCCGGCGGGGCGGGTGGCTTGGGGGGAGTCGAGCACTGGGGCGCGTAACCGAGGGCATTCGGGGACCGGTGAGTCCCGGGCTCCTCTGTCGTGGGAGGGAAGGGAACCCGACATGAGGGGTTTGTAAGGTCGGGTAGGGACGGCCAACCTGTAGTCAGCCCGTGGCCCCGGAAGGTGTGCACGGAGTGCACCACAGGCTAGGGACGCCGAGGGGTGCGCTCCTTTAGTTACAGGTCTCATTTGTTTGGTCTGTAGACTGACTGGCACAGTGGAGAAACCACCCCGAAAACGGAAAAGCAGGTAAGGCCGATGCCTTCCTCTCTAGCGTCGTGTTTTTTCTGTTTGCTTGGCTGCCCCTGTGCTGCATAATGACATGGTTGGCCAATAGATGAAGTTTCTTATTTAGGTCTTTTTCAGTGGATGCAACTGCACGGAAGATATTCCTATTGAGAACTTCAAATCGCCCCACCCCCACCCCACCCCCAGGTATGTGGTGCAGGAAACAGAAAATTAAGAAGCCTAGTTTTCAGCTTTAGTCATGATTTCAACTTCTCTGGCATCTCTCTAACAGAGATGTTCATTGAACAGCTACTGTGTGCCAAGTGTTGCATATAAATTCTCTGGGTATTGTTTCCTTGAGGCACAGTTTTGCAGAAGAGGGAACTGAACCATAGAGTGGACAAATACTTTGCCAAGATCACACATCTAATAACTAGGATTTGATTCCAGGCTTCTGCTCTTAACCACTATACTGTAATGCTTCTAATATATAGTTGAAAATATTTTTCTGGCTTTTTAAAAATAAAGCCTAATAAACTTAAATGATTAATCAAAAATAGTTATTAAGGACTTACATAGGCCACAGAAACTGAATTATTCCTTGGGCCATGAAAAAGACTGTTCATCCCACATGTTTTAGTGTATTTCATATGTTAGATACTACGGCACAATTTTATTTAGTTATTTGAAGATTTTCTTTTTTATACCTATCTTGGTATTGGAATTGAGAAAGTAAGCTATACAGTAGTAAGGATATGGCCAGTGGCACCATTTTCACAATGAATACTTTGGAAGTTGTCTGTTAATATGCAGACATCCTCAGTATTAAGGAGCTAAATGCAAGGTGGGAGTAGACAGTAGCCAAATACTTTCATTACTTTTTAGTCCTAAGTGTCCACTGTCATAGTCACATAGAGTTACTGACCACCCACAGGCTGGCTGGCGTACCTACGGAACTAGACTTTGTGTGTGTGTGTGTGTGTGTGTGTGTGTGTGTGTGTGTGTGTGTGTGTTCCTGTAAATGCACATATATGTGTGCCCATGTGGGGCCCAAAGGTCTGCAGTTACTGTTGTTCCTAGTGAGTGTACACCTTGTTTCTGGAGGCAGGCGCTCTCACTGGGACCTGGGGCTCACCATTTGACTAAGCTGGGTACTGAGTCAACAGGTCCCTGGATCTATCTGCCTGTTTTTATCCCAGTACTGTGATTTCTTTTTCTTAATTTTGTTTTTGTTTTTATTTTTGAGACAAGGTTTCTCTGTAGCCCTGACTGTTCTAGAACGCACCCTGTAGACCAGGCTGGCTTTGAATTCAGGAGCCCATTGCCTCTGCCTCCCAAGTGCTGGGACTAAAGGAGCCACCCAGCCAGTACTGTGAATTTTTAATGAAATTTACTTTTTTTTTTTTACATTTGTTTATTCCTTTTGTATGTATGTATGTCTGAGTGTGGACATTTCGTGTGGAAGTTAAGAATAATTTACAATACTCAGTTCTTGTGCACCATGGGGGTCCCTTGGCAGAAACTCAGGTCATTTACTTGGCTGAAGGCATCTTATTTTAAGTTTACAAGTTCATCATTCACTGGAAAACGTTTAAGTGTGTCTTAAGAATTCTTGGGTTTGCTCTGGAGATCCACCATGGAGGGCCTCACCCTCCCTGGGGATCGGAATGGAGATTGGGTGGGGGACTGGGGGGCCTGTTGGGGAGAGCAGGGGAGGAGGGGAGGGAGAGGGAGCTGGGATTGACATGTGAAACAAGATTGTTTCTAACTTAAATTTAAAAAAAAAATCAAAAACAAAAAAAATTCTTGGGTTTATAAATCTATTATTTCTTCTGTAAATTTTATGAAGTCTAAATAAATTTAATGTTAAAATGAGACATGTATAAAATTAGATTTAAATTAGCCCAAAAAATATGAATGTGAGATTTCTCACTCTTAAATTTTAATGATTACGTGGTAGAGTAGTAAGATGTACTGGAGTAAATAAATTTAAAAATCTGTATTTATTTAGTGTGTGCGCACGCATGTATGTATGACTGTGTACAGGTGTGGAGGTCAGAACAGTTTACAAGAGTTTGTTCTTTCATCTTGTGGGCCCCAGGGATTTTACTCAGGTTGTCAGGCATTATGGCAAGTGTCTTATCCACCAAGTTATCTCACTAGACTAAATTATGTAGCTTTTGCTATTGCTAAGATATTTTTGTAGCAGGCAGTACTCTAGTTACTGCTTAGCCTGTTGCTTCTTTGTAGACTCTGCGGTAAAATAGGCTTCCAGTGGTCTGCAGTGTGACTACTCTCTCCCTTCCCCTCGCCTCTGTCCTACCAGCAATAGGGGTAAGTCCACTACACTTACATGTACACACATGCATGCACACACACATAAACAAACTTTTATTTTTAACTCTTTCTAATGGTGGTAACTAGAAATAAAATACTACAAAGCTGTGTTACTTACTTTTTATGATGGCCCTAATGTATTTCTCGTTACCCCACTGCTAGACTCTTTCTTATAGTAGCCTCCTGACTCGCTTCCTGGCTTCTAATCTTTAGTTTATTCACTATGCTGTATACATTGATCATGAGTTTCTTGTGTAGGAGCCTCATGTGTTTCGCCTAAGTGTAGCATCTGAGGACTGTGTCTCTCTGTTTCACCTAAGAGTAGCATCTGAGGACTGTCTCTCTCTGTTTCGCTTCTACTCCACTGTTAGTGCTGTAGCCATAGAAATCCTCTCTGATGGACCTGAAATCTGGTAAGCCAAGATGATGTGAACTGTTGAATTTATCTTCTGTTTGCCATTTCCAGAACTTTTCCTCTCTGCTCTTTAATTTTTGTACATGGTTATTCTTTCTTTCTGGGTACTGTCACTCTGTTCTTTTCTTTAAAACTTAGCACATGTATCACCTCCTCAGTGGGGGCTTTCTCCATCCCTCTTTCCTTCCCTATGCTGTCCCCTTCCGTAGTAGCCTATACGCGTGTGATGATTTTGGCTGAATGTGAATCCACCTCCTCTCACATGCATGTGAGCTCATAAACTGTGGCTAAGATAATGTACAAGAGTATTTACTTTGTAAATACTTCCCAATCCATCCGCTGTGTCTTGAGTAAAGATCCTTTCCCACATTTGTTGTCTTTTCTTGGCATGCATGAGGCCTTGAGCTAAATCCTCAGTACCATTAGGGGTGGAAGAGGGATTCTTTCTGAGCCTGGGGGTGGGGGAGGGGGACTTCAGGGGAGCAAACTAGAAAATTAGTTCAACAATCCCAGGATTACAAAGTCTCTTGTATAATGCTTGGCACAGAAATTTCTGAACATAGTAAGTTCCAAGTAAAAAAGAACTCGTGAAAACCAGTGTACCGTGAACATTCTTGGTGCCTGTAGAGGCCTGAAAAGTGCTTTGGACCTAGTGGTGTTTAGACAGTTGTGAACTGCCATATGGGTGCTGGGAATTGAACCTGGGTCCTTAAGAAGAGATGTAACCACTGAGTCATCTCTTCAGCATACCTGTCATCATTTTTTATTAATTCTTTCAGAATTTTGAATAATGCATTTTGATCATATTCATCCCCTCTTCCCAGATCCATCCCCCTTTCCCAGACCACCCAATTTTGTGTGTACATGCCAGTCTGTGTTTCCCCCCAAGTGCGGTTTATACTGCCCTATACTCTTAGGTATGTGGCCTTCCCTAGAGCATGGCCACCCACTAGAAGCTTTACCCCTAAAGAAAACTGAATGTCCCTCAGCTGCCAGTAGCTCTTTAGACAGGAGTAGGACTTTGTGTCTCTACCTTTTCTATGCTGGAATCTGACAGGTCTTGTGCATGTTGTCTTAATGCCTATGAATTCATATGTGCAGCTGCCCTCCACCCAAGGCTTAAGGTCCATGGCAAAAGAGGAAGCAGAAAGCTAGTAACAGCCATAAGTAATAGATGACTACAAGGAAACCTTTCTGGATACAACATGGCAGTTCTCACTTTTAAAGACTAATGTTTATTTTTATGTGTATGGATGTTTGCCTGCATGTATGTATGTGTACACATGTGTGCCTGGTGCCAGAGGAGATCAGAAGAGATTGTTGGATTTCTTTAACTGGAGTTACAGATGATTATGAGCCACCATACGAATGCTTGGAATGGAAACTGAGTCTTCTTCCAGAACAATAAGTGTTCTTAGCCACTGAGCCATCTCTCCAGTCCTATCCTACCTCTTTTTAAGACACATATAGTTGAAAGGATTACAGATCAATTAAGTCAAAGAAGCTTTTGAGAAAAAAAGCATAAAATTAAGCCTACTGTACTCTGGTTTGGCTCTTCATTTTTTGGAGTAAAGTAAAAAAAATTAGTAAATTTAATCCCTCAGATCAATGATGTCTAACATTAAACATAAATTGCTCAAACCTTTTATTAAACTGTAAAAACTAAGATGGATGATTTCTCTTAACTGGTGTGTATTCTAGGTAGTTATTATAACTAGGTCATATAATTAGTCTATATATTTATATTGGTGGCTATTCATGGGAGGGGGAAGAAGTCAATAAATACCAATGTTTTTTTTTTTAAATACATAGCTTTAGGAATTAAGCCTAGGGCCTTGTGCATGCTAGGTCAGTACTGTATTGCTGAGCTATACTTACAGCTCGCCGTGAAGTTTTCTCGGTGAGGGTTGTATGTATTAGAGGCTGGTCTCAAACATTATGCAGCTGAGGGTGACTGTAAACTTCTGATACTATTATCTTGCTTCCACCTTCCAAATGCTAAGATTACACACATAACCAGCCTGGTTTATATATCGTGGTGACTTAAACCCAAGGTTTCACGCATACTAGGCATGTGTCATAGTTAAGGTTTCTGTTGCTGTGAAGAGACGCCGTGACCATGTCAACTCTTATAAAGGGAAACATGGCAGCATGCAGGCAGGACATGGTGCTGGAGAAGGAGCTGAGAGTTCTATATCTTAATCTGCAGGCAGCAGGAGACTGTGTACCACACTGGGCACAGCTTGAGATATATGAGACCTCAAAACCTGCCTCCACAGTGACACAGTTCTCCCATAAGACGTATGTATGCCAGCAATGCCACACCTTCTATCAGTGCCACTCGCTATGGGCTAAGCATTCAAGTCCATAAGTCTATGGGGGTCATACCTCTTCAAGCCCCACAGCTTGCATTCTATCACCTGAACTGTGTCCCCAGCAGTCCATAATGCTTCTCAGTCTAAGTAAAGCTGAGGTACCTCCAAAGGCACCTGCTGACCTACCGCTGTTAATTTTGAGCTTTCATTTACTCATCTTAGTTCATCTTTCTTTTTTTTATTAATTTATTTATTTATTATGTATACAGCATATGTTTGTAGGCCAGAAGAGGGCACCAGATTTCATTACAGATGGTTGTGAGCCACCATGTGGTTGCTGGGAATTGAACTCAGGAGCTCTGGAAGAGCAGGCAGTGCTCTTTACCTCTGAGCCGTCTCTCCAGCCCCCCTTAGTTCATCTTTCAAAATTCATTTTGCTTTGTACTGAGAGATAGCTCAGTAAACTAGTGTGCTAATGAATGAATGGCTAGTGAAAGAGGTTCCTGTGGGTTGGGGACTTGATGGTTGAAAGTCATATGATATTATTGTATGCCCCTACTAGATGAATTAGACTGAAAGGAGATTCAAATTAGGAAAATTGATCTCTCTCTGGTTTTGGAAAATTAGGATGTTTAACATATCTGTTAATAATGCTGTAGTTTTGAGATAGAGAGATTTTCCAGGTCCTATTTAGAACAAAGTCCAATTTTTATAGGTAGAATTCATGTCGCTGAAATCTAGTCAGTTCTGCAAGGTCCTGGTTAAATCTCCAACACCATGGACGGACAGACCCCCAGCATGATTGATAGATAGATAGATAGACAGACAGACAGACAGACACATACACACACAATGATGTCATTTTAAAATTATAGTTATTGGTGTGTGTTTGTGTATTAGTGTGTGCATAGCTTGGTGGAAATGTGGAAAACTTGAGGTGGTTGGTTCTTCCCTTTCAGCAGTGTTTTGATCAAACTCCAGTCATCAGACTTGACAGCAAATCAGCCATTTCACTGTCCCAAAAGATATCTCTATTACTGTAACTAGTTAGAATGTCCTGAGCCTCTTCTTTTTTTTAAGATTTATTTTATTTTTATTTTTGTGTGTGCTCACATACATGCGTTCAAATGCAGGTTAGCACTCAATGTAGGTTAGAAGAGGGCCTTAGATCCCCTCTCAGTGTGAACTGAGAGCTAACTCAGATCTTCTGGAAGAGCAACCAGTGCTCTTAATTGCTGAGCCACCTCTCTAGGCTCTGGTATATGTAATTTGTTTAAGAAACAAATTGGAATCGAATTGAAAGCCCTAAGATTAACCCACAAACCTATGAACACCTGTTTTCGACAAAGAAGCTAAAATTATACAATGGAAAAAAGGTAGCGTCTTCAACAAATGGTGCTGGCATAACTGGATATTGGCATGTAGACGACTGCAGATAGATAAGATACATGTCTATTGCCGTGCACAAAACTTAAGTCTAAATGGATCCAAGACCTCAACATAAATCCAGCCACACTGAACCTCTTAGAAGAGAAAGTGGTACCCACAGGAGACAGCTTCCTGAACATAACACCAGTAGCACAAACACTGAGATCGACAATTAATAGATGGGACCTCCTGAAGCTGAGAAGCTTCTGTAAGGCAGAAGACACAGTCAGCAAGACAAAAAGACACCCCACAGATTGGGAAAAGTTATTCACTAACCCCACATCTGACAGAGGGCTGATCTCCAAAATTTACAAATAATAAGCAAGTCTCCAAAACACCAAAGGATCCAATTAAAAAATGAGGGACTGAACTAAATAGAGAATTCTCAATAGAGGAGTATAAAATGGCAGAGAGACACTTGAGAAAATGTTCAACATCATTAGCCATTAGGGAAATGCAAATCAAAGCAACTCTGAGATATCATCTTACTCTTGTCAGAATGGCTAAAATAAAAAAAAAAACACCAATGACAGTTTGTGCTGGAGAGGATGTGGAGAAAGGGGAACATTCCTCCATTGCTGGTGGGAGTGCCAGCTCGTACAGCCACTATGAAAACCAGTGTGGAGATTCCTCAGGAAAATGGGAATTAATCTACCACACGACCCAGCAATTCCACTCTTAGACATATACCCAAAAGATGCCCATTCACACAACAAGGATGTCTGTTCCACTATGTTCATTGCAGCATTATATGTAATAGCTAGATCCTGGAAGCAACCTAGATGCCCCACAACTGAAGAGTGGATAGAGAAAATGTGGTACATTAACACAATGGAGTA